AGGTGGTCAGGCACTGCCTGAAAAATGTCTTACTGCAGCACTGAAAGGTTTTTTTAATTCAGTGAAAAAAATGAATGAATATAACCAGTGGCTGGTGATGGAAAAGATTAAGTAGTGCAAAACAAATGTGTTTCCAAATGAGTAATTTTAGAAGGAAAAAAAAAACCCATCTTAATGTGAGGTGCAAAACAGCACTTTTTTGCAATCACCTTTCAAATGCCCTGGGTTGTTGTTGCTGCTTCCGTCCTCAGTTTATGTACGACGCTTTCTCCTGGTGACGCCTCTGCTAGCATGAGGCCCAGCCAAGAGCATCGTGGGGACGTTCAGAGGTGCCCAAGGTCACTCACCACATGCACCATTTTTTGCTGTGCTGGCCTGCACTTGGGCTTCTTTCTTCTCCTTATTGCTAGGTATATATATAGTACTGTTGCTCAGAAATCATCGGGTGCTATTTGACCGCTCTAGAAGGACATGGGGAACAGGGCTTCAGTTCCCTCTTCTGTAGATTAGAAAGCAGGCTACGATCTTGCTGCTTCCTCTGTGAAGAGGAATAGGCATTTCCCATGTGTGAGTCATCTCATTTGTCCAGACAGGTCTGGTGAGCTGCACCTGGGAGGTGAGCTTGGGCGGTTAGCGTCAGCCGGACGGTCCTGGAGGCATCTGAGGTGGAGGCCATCTGTGGTGGCACCTTTCACAGGATGGGTAAAGCAGCCGCCAGCCATCGCGGGGCACTGCGGGATGCCGTCCTCCGCCAGCAGCTGGGAATGCGATGGGCTGGGCTGAGGACACGTGGTACTGGGTGTGAGGAGTGTCTGAGGTGAGGTTAGCCCCTCTCTGCCTCCCTGGTGTCCCGACGGCCATCGGCGTCTCCAGGCAAACCCCGCAGCAAACACCGTCCCGCACTGGCTGGCTGATTTCTCACGTGTGCCGTAGGATGGCAAAGCCTGGTGGCTTCCCTGCTGTCAGCTGGACATTTGCAGGGGAGGCGAATCCCTTGCGGGTGCATCTCGGGGCAGTCAGGGGGATGGTACCATGTCCCTATGGCATTTTAACTCATCCTGTGGCATCAGTGCCCTGCTGCTGCTGCATTGAGAGCGACACAGCTCTCGCATGTTCCCTGCCCTGGGGGAGGATGGAGCTACCAGTGAGACCGAGCAGTGCGGCGGAAGTGCCGGTGGGGTGAGCCGCCCACCAGTTAGCGCAGCGTGCTGGGCGGCAGGTAAATGCTTCTTGGGCGTATCAGCAATGCCGTCATTCCTGGTGCCACTGCTGGCCTAAAGGGAGGGAGAGGTGTTTCAAAAAGGCCTTGCGGTGTCCTAGTGCCTCTTGTGCGTTGGCAGTGTCGAAGGCTTCAAAGCCTTCAGATGTTGTCCCTACTCCCTGTCAGGAGCTGGAGTCACAAATCCCTCGGATGCGTTCTCTTACCTGCCTCGTCTGGGTAGCGTGGGTATCCACACGGGAGACCAGGAGCTGCTGGCCTCCATCCGCTGTTTGAACTTTGTTAGATGAGAACGCAAATCTGAATTCATATGGGCTTCATCCCATTCACCAGCAAGAAAAGGGTAAGCCTTGGGTTGTCCTCTGCACCACACTTCTTTGGTTAAACAGCCTTAAGGCTGATTTCATGATGACCTTGATGATATATTGACACAGGCTTTACTAATGTTGTTATACGGGGATAGAGAATCTGAATGTCTGTCTCCTGTTGCGGATGTCCTGCTGCGTGGGTTGTGTTAGCCTAATTTCACAAAGGGGGAATGGAGGCACGTGTGAGAGCTCAGCAGTCATGCACAGCTGAGCCAGGAACCGGACCCCCGCGTCCTCACCCGGCGTGGCCGTTCCCAGTGACTGCCCCTGAACAGTGCCACCGCGGGCAGAAGGCAGCAGCCTGCACTTCTCCAAGGGAATAAGCTGACTAGAGGAACGTGCACTGAGGTGGAGCCAGCCTGGACCTGGCTGGCAGGCAGGTTTCATCTGTAACAGTCTTCTCCCATGCTAGCTTTGAGCTCCTTGCTGTATGTGTATGTATTTTGATGCCTGCCTTGAATGAGAAGCAAACAGATTAGGAAATCGGTGAGCAGGGCAGTTAGCAGCAGGCATATAGTTAGAAACTGACAAGTTAGAGTTATAATTTTTTTCCTAAAGTAGAAACTTCAAATTCGTTGCCAACTGGAAACTGTCATGAATGAAAAATCCTTGCTTTAATTAGGGTTTAGCTCAAGCTGCTGAACAAGATTTGGTTCCAAATGCAAATTTTCTCAGTGTTTGAGCATATTTGGTTTTAGCTGTGACATCTATATCCAGCTATGGATGCAATTACATGTGAGAACGGGTACATCTTTTGGCTTAATTTTGCAGGGATTTATTTTTTATGTTCGTTAGACCCAACGTCCTTTCCTTGAAATTGCAAATTGGCTTCTGATTCTACAAGATCCTTAAATTCTGCAACAATTCTGTCAGATTTTTAGCAGCATGGTTGAGACTTGTCCTGCCTAGGTATTCACTGCAAACTTTTAACAGGCATTTAAAAACACCTGTCCTGTGGGAGGCATTTGGGAGGCATTTGCTCAATGAGGTGGTTATATGAAAGAGAACTATGTCAGGTGGGCGTTTGGTTCGCTGAGGTCTTGCTGATTTTGTTTCTGAGATTCTAGCTTTAGCACAGCCAGAGTTTCCCTCCTGCAAGGAGCTCTATGGGTCTTTGCAGTTCTGGCCTCTCTCTGGTTAAAGAACTGGGTGGGTGCACGAGAGGGTTGTTTCCCGCAGTAGATGCTTATTTAGCAGCATCATCAAGAATGTCTCTCTACTGGGGGAGGCGGCGGTGAGGCAGCCTAGACCAGAGACACGTGTGGATGGCTGTCCTCTGCAAGCACACCTCCGCTGGTCCATCATAAAGCCGGTGGATAAAGCAGCTGGCGGCACAGCTGAGGCGTCCTGCACCGGCAGCACGCAAAGGGATAGGAGAGGTGAAACGCAGCCGCGGAGGTCCTCACAGGTTATCATTACCCCTCCTCCAGTGTATGTGTGGTCACTCGTTCGCAGCCTTCCTTTTCTTTCCATAACCCTTTGGATCCTCCCTCGGGGCTGAGCCGGATGCTTGGCACTTTCTCCGTGCATCGTGCATCGTTGCGTTCCCAGCTCCCCGCTGACCTCTATCCAAGTCATAATACAGGAGAATCCCTTGGGGACAGGAAAGGGTATTCCACCTAACTGGGCTTTGCAGTGCAGAGGGCATCAGATAACCTAGATGTCTGTGATGAGTATTGCTTCTGCCTCCCCCCTCCCAGCTTCCCCATAAATCTTTGAAAAATCAGGCAGCACGTTTTTTTTTTTTTTTCCCCACCTTGGATCTCCTTTCTCGTTCCATCAAAATAAATAATAAAGATGAAGGAATCACGCTCGGGGCTTCGTGGAGGTCGTGCTGCTCGGATGTAAGTAATCTAGCTGTGCATGTGCTGCGTAGCTGAGGTGCAGGGCAGCGGAGGAGGCTGGGGAAGTCGCGGGGGCGCCGGGGGGGCGCCGCTCGATAGCTTCCAGTCGGGGCTGGGTTTGAAACGGTCAGCTAGAGGATGTGTATCCCCATAGCTGATGCGTTCGTGGGTTGTAAATCTGTCGGCAGGGACGTGAGCTGTTAAAAGAGGTTTTTAGAGTGCAAGAATAGCGTACGCAACCAAGGACTGTGTGTAGATTAGAAATCCTGAGGGGAAGCAGGGGGGGGGGGACCTTCCAGGGCCTCCGCTTTCCCAACTGCAAAGCGGGGATGGTATTTAAGCGATAGCTTTTGGGCTCAGTGTTCATCAAACCGAATCAAGAGAGAGGCAGCAGGCACACCTGCAGAAGCTGAAGATCCGGTCGCTAAACTTTATACTAAGCAGAAAAGGCTGAAACTGCGGCCAGACGGGCCGTGTGCCGGGCGACGCGGCCAGCGCCGCTGCAGGCAGCCGGGCTTGTCGCTGGCCTAAACAGCGCGTGGCGTTTGGCCCTTCTGCAT